CACGATTTTGATATCGTACGTACGTGCGCTCCAAGCGCTGATAGAAGAGATCCTTGGATGACTCATCCTTCTCTTCCGTCGGGGCATGGGCGCAGATGAGCGAGATGTTGAAGAATCTCGCTTTGATGCGGATTGTGGCTAGACGCTCGTCCACCGGGGTGAACGACAGTACTCGGCGACGGGGTCTCTCTCCCACCACAAATCCAACACCGAATTTGCGCTCATTTACATGGCAGCTGTAGTAGACGTCGCAAGGCCCCAGACATTGTTTGCCTTGCCCCGTCCAATGCATTTCTTGGATGGCGGTGATGTCAGCTTTTGTCCTTACGAGGACATCAACCAGCCGGGCAGAGGCACCTTGCCCATTAAGGGTCCGGACATTCCAGGTGCATGCACTCAAATCGTAGTCCTTTATACGTTTGCCGTGGTCGTCATCATAAGGGGGGGTCTCATCCGAGGCTTTGCCTAGCTTCTTCACTGGAAGTGGTTTTTACGAGGTGGGTCCCAAGCCCATCGCACAACCCATTGCTGGGACGGGGGTGGTTTCGCAACCAAATACACGTTTATATAGCGAGCCGCTTGCTCCAAGCAGACACCCGCTTGCAGCCGCACCTACTGGTGAACAGATGCTGCAGACTTCAGTGAGCCCTTAAACCGAATAAGTCAGAGTGGCCCCACCGAAGCTCCCATTTTATTTGATTACCATTTAAATAATCATGACTTGGCTCGTAATTATGAGTTAAAAGATCTGGGCGTTATATTTAGTTAAAATTGCCGCTTCAATAATCACTACGATTATATGATCGCTAAAGCGAAATCTATGGTTGGCTTTATCAAAAAAAAAACAGTCAGGAATTTAAGGACCCTATCACCATTAAGGCGCTTTATACATCAATGGTTCGTAGTGTCATCGAATACTGTTCTATCGTTTGGAATCCATCTTACTGTAGTCACTCAAATCGAACAGAACGGATCCAACGATCCATAACTAAATATGCAATTAAAAAAATGAAGTGGACTAGTGACCTTCCACCTTTTGAGGCCATAAGAAAACTGCTAGGGTTACAGTCCCTATGCGATAGGCGAATATCCAACTTCATTTTGTTTGTCTTTCAAATATTATCCGGTAAGATAATAGGATAGGATAGATAGGATCTTCAGATCCTGTAATAAGGACCTGCCAACTCATAATTGGTAGGGAAGATAGAGGAGCCAGTAGAGAATAGAAGGCAGGTGTTGCTGATCCTCAACGCCGAATCGCTAGCCCCACTGGCGCAAAAGGATTGGGTGGTGAGATCGAAGAGGTGGACGTGGATGTCACGATGGTGGAGGTAAAACGGACAGATTCTGATGAAGCTGATCCAGATCAACCTCCACCACTCTAAACTCGCGTCTGCGAACCTTGAGGTCCGCCTGGCTGCCGGTGGACTCGACGATGCCCTCATCCAGGAACCGTGGATACACGGCAATAAAATCTGCGGACTTGGGATGAAGGACTTTAAGCTTATTGCCGCACAAAATGCAGGTAAGACTCGAGCTTGCATATTAGCAAGGAACAACTTAAACATCTTCCTGCTCCCACAGCTTAGTGACGGCGATCTGGTAGTGGCAAGCATTGAGCTGGACAAAACCAGCTTTTGCGTAGCCTCTGCCTACATTGCCCATGACAAGGACGTGCCACCAGATGGGTTTCGGACCTTGGCCGAGGAAGCAGCCTTCAAGAACAAACCACTGGTTGCCTCCTGCGACGCTAATGCCCACAACTTGATGTGGGGGAGTACGGACACGAATGCTAGAGGTGAGTCGTTACTAGACTTCATTCTAGGGAACAAACTTAGTGTCTTGAATTTAGGCTCAGAGCCGACCTTTATAACAAAGAGTAGAGAGGAAGTTTTGGACATAACTCTGGCTTCAGACATGTTTGCCCATAAAATCAAGAGATGGAGAGTACTGAATGAAAAATCTTATTCTGACCATCGTTATATTAAATTCGAAATAGATCTTAAGACCCCCCAAGTAAGGGAGTTCAGAAATGTTAGAAATACCGACTGGGGGGTTTACAATAATATATTAAGGACTTAACTGCCAAAGATACCTCCCCGAGACCCCGCCACGCAGGTGGAGCTGGATGGGTTGGTTAATCAGGTTACTAAAGCCATGAATAGTTCTTTGTCAGCCGGATGCCCGGTTGTTCGATACAGGGGAAAAGGCAAACCACCTTGGTGGTCGAAACAATTATCCTTGTTACGTGAATCTAATAGGTCAATGTTGAATAAGGCCAAAGCCACGAGAGCAGCAGAGGACTGGGAAGCCTACAAGGCTGATCTGAAAATATACAAAAAAGCAGTTAGAACTGCGAAACGTAAATCCTGGCAAAGTTACTGCAAGGGAATTGAGGAAACCACGGAAGCGGCCAGATTAAGAAGAATTCTCGCAAAGTCGCCATGCAACCTTGGCTATCTCAAGGGTCAAGGGAACTCATGGACTACGACGAGCGAGGAATCTTTAGGTGCCCTCCTGGACACACACTTCCCTGGAAACAAGCCGGTGGAACCTAATGACCCCCAGAATTAAGGGGGGCTATCTGATCTGGGAAACCCACTGATTACAAACGAAAAAATCGAATGGGCTATTAAGACTTTTGGTCCTTACAAGTCACCGGGACTTGATGGAATACACCCGGTAGAGCTGCAGCAATCACGGGGTATTATCTCTCCGTTCATTGTGGTTATTATAAGAAGCTGTCTTAACATGGGCTACATCCCGCTAGGCTGGAGAGAGACAAAAGTCTCCTTTATACCCAAGGCGGGCAGGTCCTCTCATACCAACCCTAAGGACTTCAGACCCATCAGTCTCTTTCCTTCTCAAAATTTTAGAGAGGATAGTGGATGATTATGTACGGGGCGTGATACCAACAAGTAGGCTCTCCCCAGCGCAGCATGCCTATACGAAAGGCAAATCCACGGAAACCGCCTTGCACTCGCTCGTTGGGTTGGTGGAAAAAAAGTTTATTAGACAAAGAGTACGCTCTGGTTGCCTTTGTAGACATAGAAGGCGCCTTCAACAATAATTACGCAAGCGCCATAACGGGTGCCTTAGAAGAGCTTGGAGTTGACCAGAATGTGGCGGTGCTGATCGAGTCTATACTTGTCAGCAGGACGATAACCGCTCGGCAACACCACAATAAGCAGAAAGGTCTGTAGAGGCACTCCTCAGGGAGGGGTTCTCTCCCCTTTTCTCTGGAATTTGGCGGTGAACTCTCTGCTGGTGGCACTAGAGAGGGGGGGTTGCCATGTCACAGCATATGCTGACGATCTGGCAATTGCCATCAAAGGCAAATACCCAAATACCCCAATGGAGATTCTGCGCTCTAACATGGCCACGCTTAGGAACTGGACAGAGAGTAGGGGACTCGGAGTAAACCCCGAGAAAACCGAAGCAATTCTCTTCACAAGGAAACACAGGTTTCCCATTGTCTCCTCGCTAATCTTTTTGGGTGTGGAGATATCCTTGAAGGAGAATGTTAAGTATCTAGTGGGGGTTAACACCTCGTATTACACATTGGCTATACACCTCGGTGGTCAGGCCAATACTCTTATATGGAATACTTGTATGGTGGCCAGCAATTCAAAAGGCAAGTTACCTAAAACTATTGAGTAAGGTCCAAAGAACAGCGTTTCTATGCATTTCGGGTGCCTTAAGGACCACCCCAAATAAGGCGCTGGAGGTGATTACCAATTTGCCCGCAATAAACCTGGTGGGAAAATACGCGGCCGCCGATTCAGCGCTCA